GCTCAACTCATAGGCATTTAACAAAAGCATTTCCCCTTTTTTTCTATTGTTATATTGTCATATACTTCAGCCTTTGCTGCAAAAGCTGGCCCTCAGGAATCCTGGACCCTGGAGACCAGGGAGAAAGTCTAGAGAAAAGAAGACTTTCCCTTGATCAAGGAGGATCGGGTTAGAGATCATTTAGTCAGACTTGACACCCACAAGTCCGTGGGCCCTGATGAGATGCACCCACGAGTGCTGAGGTTTGCTGGTGGACGTCATTGCTAGGCCACTCTCCATCATCTTGGAAAGGTCCTGGAGATCAGGAGAGGTGCCCGAGGACTGGAAGAAAGCCAGAGTCTCCCCAGTCTTCACAAAGGGCAAGGAGGAGGAGCCAGGGAACTCCAGGCCTGTCAGTCTCCCCTCCATCCCCGGAAAGGGGATGGAACAGCTCCTCCTGGAGGTCCTCACTAAGCACGTGGAGGACAAGAAGGGGATCAGGAGTAGTCAGCATGGATTCACCAGAGGGAAATCATGCTTGACCAATCAGATAGCCTTCTCTGACGGAATGAGTGGCTGGGTAGATGAGGGCAGAGCAGCAGATGTTGTCTCCCTGGACTTCAGCCAGGCTTTGGACACTGGCTCCCATCACATCCTCCTAGGTAAGCTCAGGAGGTGTGGGCTAGACGAGTGGACAGTGAGCTGGGTGGAGAACTGGCTGGATGGCCGAGCTCAGAGGGTTGTGGTGAATGGCGCAGAGTCAAGTTGGAGGCCTGTGGCTAGCGGTGTCCCCCAGGGGTCAGTCCTGGGTCCAGTCTTGTTCAACGTATTCATCACTGACCTGGAGGAAGGGACAGAGTGCACCCCCAGCAAGTTTGCTGATGAGACTAAACTGGGGGGAGAGGCTAACACACCAGAAGGCTGTGCTGCCATTCCGAGGGACGTGGACAGGCTGGAGAGCTGGGCAGAGAGGAACCTCCTGAAGTTCAACCAAGGCAAGTGCAGGGTCCTGCACCTCAGGAGGAAGAACCCCATGCAGCAGGACAGGCTGGGGGTTGACCTGCTGGAAAGCAGCTCTGCCGAGAAGGCCCTGGCAGTGCTGGTGGACAACAAGTTAAACATGAGGCAGCAATGTGCCCTGGTGGCCAAGAAGGCCACTGGGATCCTGGGGTGCATTAGGCAGAGCGTTGCCAGCAGGTCGAGGGAGGTGATCCTGCCCCTTTCCTCAGCCCTGGGGAGGCCTCACCTGGAGTACTGTGTGCAATTCTGGGCTCCCCACTACAAGAGAGACATGGAGCTCCTGGAGGAAGTCCAGCAGAGGGCTACGAAGATCACAGAATCACACAGAATGGTTGAGGTTAGAAGGGACCTCTGCAAGGCCATCCTGGGCAATGTGCTCTAGGTGACCCTGCTTGAGCAGGGGGGTTGGACTAGATGATCTCCAGAGGTCCCTTCCAACCTCGGCCATTCAGTGATTCTGTGATTTGTTAAAATATACAGTATTGCTTTACTTTAGTAAAGGAACATACTTTCTCCCCTCTTCCTTTTCAGCAATAGGCTCACAGTTGGAATTGAGATTGGAAATGCAGATCGAACATGCAGTTTGTGTCACGCAGCTGAACCAAGCTTGATGCATGTATCTCATCAGGCATAGATGTTTTTTCTTCCAAAATAGACTGATACTGGATTCATACTTTTCAGAGGTTTTATTTTAACTGTTACTAATAAAGCACCAATATGACTGGAATAATACAACAGAAAAAAAAAAAAACATTCTGCAAATCTTCAAGTGTGCTAGTTGTGTGCATATCTCCTTTGTTAGCAAATGGAAATGTCCATAAGGAGCTCTTTTTTGCTTTCAACTCTTTCCATCTTACTAATCGTCTAAAGTTGAAAAGCTCTGGATCAAGATTATTCATCCTGCAATACCTCAAGCCTTATGCCAGTGTAACAGATTCTCCTGGCTCATATGCGATCTTCCAAGTGCTCAGTACAGAAAGAACGTGACTGCATCCCTCGGTGTGGTGTGAGGAGGAACTAAATCATCTACAGCTTTTTGTAAAGCAATACACAGAGCTTGTGCACATTATCTACAAAAACTGTTAGAGAGTAAATGGGAATAATCCAGGTGATCATATAGGAAACAACTATTATTATTAACCCTTGTGGGGAAAAACTGCTAGATAGTGCTGGAGGAAGGCTCAAGTTGTTGCAGCTTTGTTCTAAATGTTCCCTGTTCTAAATTTCAAATCCTTCTTAGGGTTGACATGTGCCTTTGTTTGTCACTGTTACTGTTTCTTAGCATTTTATATGATATGGTAGTTATCAATGGACAGAGAAGTATGGGATTTTTGAGGAAAAGAGACTGTATAAACTTAAAATAAATGGCAAAGCTATTCTTAGTACTTTTGAATTCCATTACTACAGCATTTGAGTGGCTCAGTACCTAGCCTGGATATCCACATACTATATCTGGGAAGTAGGCAAGTGACTCTTACCGGTGGAGAGTAAGGTAAAGGGATTTGTTCAGATAGAACAGGAGTGCAAACCTGGGTTCTCTGCATCCCAAACTCCATTATAACCGCAGGACTACTTTTCCACAGATTGACTGATTGTCATCATTGGCTGTTGGTTTCATTTATTTTTCTCTTTGCAAACAAATGAACGGCCTAGTCTTTTTTTTTCGTGTAGACCTTTAAGAGAGGAGAAATAAAAAAATCCAATTCCCAAACATTCAGTGAATTTTAGACTAAAGCTTGATTTTCTGTAGGTTTGTTATCTCACAATGAATTTGGATAGAAGCTTTCCTTAAGGCTCGGGTATTTGCAAAGAGCTTCCCTCAAAATATGTTGGCATGGGTTTCAGTCTTACCCTTCATTTAAAGTGTCTGTAGGGACTCTTTCTCCTCTGAATGTATGTTTTGTGAAACTTAGGATTTCAGTGACGGTTACTGTCTCTGCATCTTGGTGCAAAAGTTACTGGCAAACAGTTGGAATACAGACAGATACTCTGATAGCCTCATTTTCCTTGGAAACTGGGATAAAAATCAGTTTAGATTCACAGCTCTGGACTTGAGGTTAAGAAGAAGAATGAATTTGATGAGCAGCAGCAGCAAAACTGCCAGTTAGCACTTCTCATATCTCTCCAGACGTTTGAGCATATGTTTGCAGGCTTGTTGGGATTTTTATTCTAAGCTCTATTGGCAAAAAGATAATTGTTCCTGTCTAGGATTTTTCTCATCTTGCACCGAGACTCAGCTGGTTTTGCTTCATTGGCTTGGCTGGCATGAACTGGTCATCTGTTCTCAAACACGCACTCTCTCTCTTAGGGTGCTTGCATTAAGTTGTAGTTAGGGTTAAAAATAAAACTGAGCAACACGCAATCCTTATTTATCATTGTCCTCCTTTTATTCAAAATTGCAGTCCATTTTTACCTTGTACTTACATACGCCTACGTTTAAGAGTGCAAATAGTTCTGCTGACTTTAGTCAGCTACTCATACGGTTAATGTTAAGCATGTGCCTAGGAGCCTTGCTGATTTGTGGCCTAAGGTCATATCTATTAAAGTGCATAACAAAACACTAGAACCCCTCCTACTTATCCAAACCCTGTTAATCTAAACTACTTTCATGTCTCTGTTCCATTTGGCTAATCAGGGTTTCAGTAGAGTTACTTTGTAAGAATAAATACCAAAATTGGTCGAAATCTGCCCTCAACAAAGTACTTCTGGCTCCTGGTGCCTTTAATGAGAGCCCTGAGTGTGTATCTGAGGTTGGAATTTGGCTCTAATGGAAGGTGGATTTTTCAAATCTTCTGTGGAGTGCTTCACAAAATGCGGGTTTCAGTTTTTATACCCACACATGATATTATACTAACAGTTACCTCTGGCTGAACGAATCTTGGAATTTCTTGCTATCACATCCAAAAACATGACACATTGAATTGCATATCAGCTGCATATATAAGAAAAGATCATACCGTAAGACAACATAGGGTTGTCAAGGTTTGTATTGAAAATGCTGCTTGGATTCTCCCTTGCGTCTCAGTTCCAGTTCAGTTTTCTTTTCTTTCATTTCTTTTTTTTAGTGTGTATTCATTTGCTTTTTAGTAACCTTGGGAATAAGAGCATCTCTAAATTTCTTGATCCTCTCTTCTCTGCTATGGAAAAAGGGAAAGACAGCCAATTGTTTAAAAAATAGGAACCTTTTCCTTTTGTCAAGGAATGATTTTTCATTGACTATGCAAGCTTAATACTTATGGATCGCGGAAAAATACCTTTAACTCTTGAACTATGAGAAAAGCCTCAGCTAAAAAAAAAGTGTTCATTCTTCTGTTAATTTACAAGAAATGTGTACTGATGTGTGGGACAGCACTGAAAAGATGCTGACAGTGAGTAAAATCTTGTACTCATGATTTAAAAGTATGCCCTCTGTACATTTCGTAGCTGAATATATTTTCAGTAGGCCATATTGTGAGATCAGCAGGAGCTGAAACAGTGCTAATAGCTAGGCCGCCAATCCTGCAAAACAGTATGTACATAATTTCTTGCAATGTAAGTTGTTAAGAAGAATATCTAGGAGAAATGGCATAAATTTCTGGATATATTTATCCCTTTGCATGGACTTTGGAAAGCGGCTTGCTGGCTGGTTTAGACTAGGCACCTAACTTTAAAGGGTTTAAAATTAATGGGGTGAATCTCAGCCAAGATGACTTGCTCTGTGCTGGAGCTGGTTTCCAAGAGTTGAGTGTCTACGACACCCAAAGGGAAAATAACCAGGAGGTTATCGCTACTGAAATCAGAGGGAGTTAAGTGTCTGACTGTGCCCTTGCTCCCTTTGAAGTGCTAAGTCGCTTAAAATGGCCTTCACGCTGCCAAGCTGGGGAAGTAGACAGATGTTAGATACCTAAATCTCACACGCTGTTTCTCTACTAGTACATTCAATACACCTGAGACTCTTCTCTAGCACTGTTCCCTGGCATGGGATGCCCATGTTCACTTTGTTAAACCCTCTTCCCCTACAGAATGGACCTATAGGAGTTGTCCTATAGGACCAATGGCTATGCTAACCTCCACCCAGCCAACAGCACTCTTTGCTATCTGATGACCGCTTTCAAGAGAAGGACGAGATCACTTTCACCACCTTGTGTTATACCTCAGGCACTGTCTGCAGAACGAGGTAACTATTATGCAGCTTTGATCAAGGGGTCCTTCAGCCATGTCCATCTCTGCCATAGCCTCATGGCATTTTTCCATGCAGGACCAGGGGCACCAAACCACGCTGTAGTGTTACCTAAGATCCATGGATACAGACAAGTTCCCAGAGTTGATGGATGAGTCTCTACCCTCTGAAGCTTCAGGGAAACCTCATTTTCTCCGCTGTACCTCAGTTCCTACCGTAACTTTTTCTGGGCCAGGGACCTACTTTTTACGTCCCATTATGTTGATATAAAGTGCTCAAAGTTCACAGTCTGACTACAGGTCTAAAAAGTTTTTGAAAATTGTATCTAATACTTTCAAGCAGTCTGACAAGATAGGATTACTAGTGAGTTCTAGTGACTATTAGGACTCTTACAAATAGAAATAGTTTAAAAAAATGTACATTCATGTACAAATGTTCATCTGCCATTAGGTTGCTATGTTAATTTCTCAGTAAGTTATTATTTATTTCTCAATAGCAATTTACATCAATGTAATGATTTGATCTGATTTTTCAGTAAGAATGCATTTTTCAGATTTGACTTTTTTATAGGTCCAGGGTATCAAAGGGATTTAAGATCCTAATTTTCAGTGCAAGCTAAGTGTGTAAATGCTTTTGGTAATCTAGGCGAGAGTCAATGTTTAGTTAGTTTTGTGGCAGGCTCTCATAATGTCATTATTCGGATCTCAAACACTCAAGAAGAATATTTTTTGGTTTTAATGGATGTTTTATATGAGAGCATTTTTATGTCTGGGAAAATTTTCCTATCTAATAGATTTTGGGTTAGAATCAAACAAAACCTAACAATCATTTTATAGATTTATTTTTTTGTCTTCAATGCTAGCACAACCTTCCTCCCCTTCCAAATTCTTCCTGTCATCATAGCAATTCAGTGCTGCTGATTTACTGAATCGGATTGAGGGAGACAAGCAATCCAGTATGTTGAATTTGAACTCTGACCTTTCCTTTGCATTGTTGCACAACTTCTTAGTTTTGCTAAGCAAAAAGCATTCTCCTTCCCCTTCTTTTCTCAATTGAGCAAAATCTAAAAATGTGGAGGGGCAGAGTGGTTTTGGAAATGATCAGGAAAAGACACCTGTACATTTTTCTGGTTTGGCTCTGTGGTAAGCATTTCTCATGGCCCTGAAATCTGATATTATTTCGCATTGTTCTTCAAATATCAAGATATGAATAAATTCCTTAAGATTCTTATTATGCTTAAACACTGGAACATATCCAAGCACATGCCTTTTCATATGCTGTCTTCATCAATACTGAGCTCTTGACATACCATTCATAATAAATCGAGATGGACAAGACATCAAGCGCATTTTAGCTCTACAACAGCTAAATTCATAGAGACTTCCAATACAGCTGTGTGTGTCATAAAAGACCACAATGCTATTGCTGTAGCTGTGGTGTGTTTAATACTTGCTTGTATCCCATTAGATCATATAGTGGGAAAAAGTACAAAAATAACAGACTTGTTAGTCTGCTAATTGCAAGCTCATTAAGTGAATTCCATTTCTATTTTTTTCCCATTGCCCTGATTAATGACTATTTAAGCAAATACAACAAAATCTTCTGTAGAATATTAAAAAAGATCACTTTACACCTGAAAGATCTTCTACCAGATTTTCTAATGCAAACTTTGTTTTTAAATATGTAGCTAGAGGAGTCATAGCACCACCAATGTGGACCATCCCACTCGATTTATTCACTCAAGTCATATCCAGTTTTTGAGAGGACTGTCAGTGGTGTATTGACTTTGGTGTTTCTCGAATTTGACAATTCTTTTTCCTTGACTTTTTAATTATAATTTTTGCATTCTTCTAGGGCAAACATTGCCTGTGTTTTTAGGACATTACCCTTCCCTGCTCTCTGAGGCAGGAACCTGGAAATCAGTGGAAAGATTCCCGTAGACTTTGAGGATTTGTGGAGTACCCTGTGTTACATGTCACTGTGCTGTCTTTGGGTCTAATCTGGGACCTAAGGAAGTCAGTAGCATACTTCATTGGTAATGTTTATTGGTTTATAACACAGCAAGAGCCTTCAGAACTCTCATTTCAGTGAAAGCAAATCGTATTCTTTTGGTGCCACATGAGTCTGAGCTCTTGTAAAGATAGTTTTGTTAGGTTTTTTGGTTCATGCGTTTTTAAGAGCCTTGAGGACTTTGATAGGTAGTACTTGATAAGCAGTATTTATTCTTATTTGATATGGACGTATGACATGTAAAATAATAGCATTTTAATCTATTACAGTCACACCAATATTTCAAAATCACTATCTTTTAAAGAGCACCATCCAGGAAAACTGCTGTGCCTTCAGGGAGCTCCACATCTGGATCATGGTGGCCTATGAAGAAAATGTACAACAAATTATTAATTTCTATTTGGAGATTTTTGCTTCTAGGTCTGATCCAGGACTCATTACCCTAAGTAAAAATATTTACTAGAGTACTCTGAGATTCAAGAGTTCTAAAATATGAGACCTCTCAAAATCCCACCCGCCTCTCCCCAGTTTAATAGAAGACCATTTTGAAGCTTTCTAAAGAGTATAGGAAAAGGGCATCAACTATCCTGCGTATACAGGTCTGACATGCACTGATCAGTGGACTTCCCTGATTATGTGCAAAAAAAACCCTTTAACTTCACTGAAAGCCTGAATTTTACAGTTCAAAATCTCAGGCATTGCTACTTCAAAAAAAGATTTTTGCTTGGAATAAAACTGGAGTACTGTCCTGCAGCATAGACTTTGTTTTCAAGTAAAAACCAAGCCACTTTCCAATGTTGTGTTCAAAAGACATTTAATTATGACACTAAAATGAAATAGAAGAATTTCACAAAAGAGTGGTTTTCAGCAGAGATCAGACTAAGCCCTCGTCTATGTTGTCAAGTGTTTTACTCCCTGCTGGTGATAACTGAGCAGATCATTGCAAGGTCTTCCCTGCAAATCTTGTACATTGCACTTCACATAACTCATATGTGCAATGCTGAAATATAAGAAGGAAAAATTGGAGGTTAATCTTTGCCATGTAGGGGCATTATTGCTCTTTGAAATATATTTAGTTCGTGTTCTGGAAAGGCATAATGCTGAACAGTTGAAAATAGTCATAAGGAAGAGCTCCAGAACTAACCACTGCAACTGCAAAGACATTAACTAGTAGCCTCCTTCCAGCTATTCCGTTTGAGCAAGTCTGCAGTCTAGTGAACCATTTACCCCTTGTAAGTTTACTATTCCGTGAGAAATGACTCACAGATGAAATTCATCAGTTTGCCATGGTAGGATGCCATTTATGGGCAGAAACTATGTATTTTTTTCCTCTGGGGACAAATTTCCTATTGCTTTTGCTATTACAATTTACTATTATGAGGCTGTGATACCCCTGGCTTCCGTAAGCTAGAAGGGTTCATTGATTTCAAGTCACTAGGTTATTTCCTTGAAAATTTTTAATTGAATTAAAATTTTCTCTATGAGGACACAGAGTTATGTCTTCACACCTAACTTTAGGAACCTGGCTTTCTCTATAGCTCGTGCTGGGAAATAGGCACCCTGAGAGCAGTGGCTTACCTTACCTGGCTTGGCTACCCACCTCAATTGACTGTAGTTGGTGTCTGAATGAGCAGCTGGCGAACATGCCCTGCTTTTATAGGATTACAGTAAGAAGAGACGACTCTCTCATATCTCCCTCATATTGTGAGTGTAGAACAAATGGACTTATGATGGAAAACATTGAAAGCTATAGGCTGTAAGCCTGACTCTGCTTTAAATCAGGAGCAATCCTCCTGCAACATGAGGAGTAGGTTTAATGCACCATCTCTTTCACTATCAGTTTAAATGGTGCCGTTTTCTGCATTCTTTTGTATTTGCCATAGATATGTGTGAGAAACTTTGTGATTAACTGAGCTGTTCTTTACAGTTTGCCTTTCATTAGAATCTTTTTTCCCCCTGGTTGTTCATTGCAACTAGCTTCTATCTACCTTTTATATAGTTCCCAGTGCTATTTGTTAAAGACCCTTTATTAGGATTGTTGTCCTATGTTTAGGACAACATTGTGTTAGTCTTAAACACAATGTTTAAGACTATATGCTCGCTTAACCGAACTGACTTTTTTCGCCATTTTCTGTGTTTAGATTATAACCATGATGAATTTCACTTGTGGTCTCTCCAGCTGTTTTCTAAGTAGTTCCCACTTTTCTGCAGTAGATTTCCTACACATTAGAAGATTCCAGTCCAAATTCCATAGGGTAGTTTGCATTCCCTTTAAGTCAGCTTTCCTTTATGTTTCCTTTCCGTGGATCCTAGCTCATATGAATCCTACAAATGCAATGTTATAATTAGAACTATGTGAACACAGCACTTCCATTTCTCAGAGGTGCCTGCAAACATTTGCTTTGGGTTTCATCCACAGGAGCTCCCGTTCATCGATATTTTTTACTCTGAATTTCAGATGTGAACAAACCAAACATCACAGAAGGCAAAAATCAGCTCCAGTGATTTAATTTTATGGACCCTTGAAACAAAACAAGAAATTTTGCTTAGTTTGGGGTAAAATCGACAAAGCCTAAATGCTTACTTGGATGCTTACTTACCTGTAGTGCATTGTCTAGGCTAGAAAACAAGTGCTTCATTTTTATAATAAAAGCAGTTGACCTTAAAATAATTTAAGGGGTTCACGGCTAAATTTTTTAGTTTGGAGTAAAGTACCTGGGAGCACCTTCCCTCCTTGACAGTCTGGATGAGAGCTCCCCCTCCTGTTTTAATCTATTTTAGGCTGTGGCCTTGGTTATGACCCGCACATCTGGATGGCTGGATTTTCCCCATATCAGACCCATCTCAGTATGCTCATTTTCCAGGTTGAATCCAGAGTAGCCCCGAGTTACCGTCTGTTCACAATAAGGAACTCACTCACTCATTTGTGCATAGCTTTTATTTCTGTCTCTGTTTAAAGAGTAGGCCCTGTGTAGAGAGATAACCCATATTGCCTAACACCAGACTATGTAGTCTTTGTTAAAAATGTCTTTCATTACAGAATGGGAACATTTCAAGATATTTTTGCATTCTATTTAAATGCTTATGTTTTTCAACGGCAACAAAAAAGGAGAAATTGGATTTTTTTTTTATTATTTTTCTTCTCTATTTTTCTCAACCTCTTAGGAGGAAGAAATAATTAAGAAAAAGACACAAGAAATGAGGGGGATGAGAATATTTGCACTGCATCACTAAAAAGTGCAACTCAGTTTCTTAAACACAGGGTTGATCATTTTATTATGGACCTTCCTTTCAATAACAACTTGTGGATAGAAACCCTAACATCCCCAAATTCATTTAGAACATGGTAGTATCTATTTCACTGCAAATCTGCTCCTTGAATCACCGAAATTATGCTTTTTTGTGAGAAATCTAGGCATACAGAAAATACAAATTGCCTATGGGTGGACAGGCCTGTGGGTGAAATGCCATCTCTTTACTTCTGAGCTTGGTGACGTTTCTGAGTGCCTGTCCAGCTGCCCCATGTAGTTTGTGGGCACTGTGTGTTGGAACTGGTTGGACTGGACTTAACGCTTCATACCAATAAAACCGTATATCACTTTTGTGAGAAGAGTGTAGTGAAAGGACAGGGGAGTTTTAATTTATCTAGTAAGTATTGCTAACATTCTTTGTGATAACAATATTAGGAAACTATTGACAGTCTATTTTCTTTGTTTTTTTTTTTTAATTTCATCTTAGAATTCTTCAACGAGAACAGAGTGTTTCATCCAGAATGAATGGCAAATTGCAAGTTACAATGCAGTGGAAGAAAAGGTGGAATTTTCCTTTCTAGACATGGCATTTGCTGGAAACCATAAAAATGAAATAACAAATTACAGAATGGAGATAATAGCATTTTAGAAAGCCACATTAAATTAGAACTGTTGAAGGCAAATTCTTTGTGGCTGCTAGCACCAATTTGCGGATAAAAAGTCAAGAAGATTTTTAAAGATCTGTTTCTTAATTAATTTAACATTTTCTTGTTGGTGTGCAGGGTTGCCAGTGTGAATAACTTACGTCTTTCTCATGGGCTGTCTCATTTGTTTAGCTTGGTGAAGTCATGTGGCTTGGTTTTCCTTCCTCAGACAGGTTTGAAGATATGGAGGCAGAATTAGCTGGAGTCCACTGGAGGGCAATCTAGCACCGTCTATCTGACCTCAGCTTGCTCTTCTATATGACCTTTTTTAAAGATTTTTGATCTGAACTCTAGGAACAGTTTACATTTCCATGTCCGTATTAGATCTGGAGTTCCATAAAGCAAGGCCAGCACTATATGTTTTTGCTCTCTCAGATATTACATCTTCTATTTATACTGTGTGTTTTTGTAGCCCATGATGTAATATGACAAAATTTCAGCCATGTGCATCACACATGCAAGTCCGAGTGCAGCTGGGTTGTGTAGCATGGCTGAGGTAATGTCAAGAAATTTCATATTATATTTAAAATGACACCTGTAAAAATAATCTTCAATTTGTAATTTAAATACTGTAATACTCAATTATGTGAACTGACAGGAAGCGTCCCAGTGGTTTTGGAAAATAACATTCTTTTATCCATCGAACCTTTGATGCATTTTTGCACAGCCATAATGGAAGTTCAGATCATGACCTTCTACTTCAAGAGAACAAAGTCAAGGAGGAATAAGATCGTCTCCTACAGAAAGGTAAAGTTCTCTCTCTACATATATATTTACTTTCTTGGAGTTAAATGTCAGCTATGCACGCTTTATCATTATCCAAGCCAAGGAGAACAGAAATCTGTAAATCTAGCTTCAGTTCTAATTGTGTGCCTTGCTTATCGCAGCACATGCATGTCATCTGTAAATATATATCCTGCTTTACTCCTACAGAAAGACTTCGAAGGTTTTCCTGCAGTCTACATCAGTAGCAATCAGATTCTATTAATGTGGGAGTGAGGTTTGTGACTTGGCCATTGAAAAAGCTCAGAAGTCTTCCAGATGCAGGAATCAGCTTTGGAAATCTACTAAGCTATTTCTTAAGTATGTCTCTTTTGCTTATTTGGGAGGAGGGGAATGACAAGACATAGGCTTTGTGCATGTAGATTATGAATGTGATAGCCCTGGGATCTCTCCCATTGTAAATTACACCTTCTTCCCTAATTCCATGGCATTTCCCTTATCCAAGAGCTGTTTCTTAAAAATACTATCATTCTCACGAGCTTTACCCCCAGCCCCCGCCCCACTTGTACCTGTTATTGGCTTCTGCAAAATGTAAGAGATTTCTCTTATGTCCATTTCCATCATGTATTTTCAAAATACTGAGTGTGACTTCCAGAGAGTTGTGTTTTGTACCACTTAAATAAACTCTATTCTTTCCATTCAACTCTGGTAACCTGATACCACACAATAAATGCTAATAAGTTTCCTGCAGAGTAGTGCTCTTTAGACAGCTTATTTTTCATCCCTCCTTTCATGTTGTGCTCTTATTGATGACTCAGTCCATACCACAAGTGTTCTTAAAGAAGATAAAATGTAAATAAAAGTGAAAGATGCTGGTTAGATAAGGCACTCAGAAGGACACAGGAAATGCTTCCTAGAGAACATTTTTTCTGTCTAAAAAGTTGCCCCTTTTAAGTTGTAGTTACTGGCTATTACTCTTTGTAGGAAGTTAAGGGCAAAATAAGGTATTAAATAATTTAAAAGAGGAAATTAATGCTCTAGGCTACTGTGAATCAAGGACATATGCCTTTACTGTCCATCTTATATGCTAGAGATATTGATTTATTTTGTAATGATAAAATGTTTTTCTAGTAATGTTAACTGTGTGTGAAATTCATTCACGGTAATGCAGCAATGGGAAGCCTCAGCCCTGCGAATATACCCAGAAGCATGCATGGAGAATTAGAAGTCAGAAGTGCAGAAGGACATTGGCTGGCATGGAGATACTCTGCCAGAGAAGCAGAGAGCGTGGTAACCACGTGCTATGGGGCACACACAGGATGATCGGAAGCTGTGGTCTTGTTCCTCATCTAAAGGACAGTCCATAACAGAGGGCATCTGGGGCTCCCCTTGCCCATATCATGGGCCTTCTCCTACCTTCTCGTGTAGCTTCCACGTACAGAGCTTGCTCCCTTTGAAACTGATCTGCTGATAATCCGCGCACCAGCTTCTGTGCATGCTGATCCCCAGAAGTGTTATCTTCCTCTGTATTGTGTAATGCTGCTGCATTGGGATGGGAGGAGGCAGCTGGGGGGTCACCTACGCAGTGGGAGATGTGGGTGCAGAATCATATGGGCTGCCCTCTAGGGCAGGAGACGGGCTCCTGGGGTGCAGAGACAGATGGGGTCTGCAGGAAGCACCAATCACTCTACGCTGAGGTGAGATTTGTTTGGTGTTGGTTTATTACTGCGTAAGGTTGACTGTGGTAGTGCCTTAGGGCCATGTGCTCAGTGAGAAGGCAGGGCTCAGAGGGAGAACAGTAGATGCTGCCTGCCCTGAAGAGCTTCCCGTGTTAATGCTCTAATGCAAAGAACGACACAGCTGGGCCTTTTTTAATGCTCGGTGAGGAAGGGGAGACCATCTCTCACTGCAACCTGCTTGCCTCACGCAAAAGACAACAGGAGGGAGGTGCTCTCCTCTTAAAAGTTTGTTTCAGTCTCACTTTTTGAAAGCGCAGGTCGCTGCAAAGTCCCACTATCATATGCCATCTGCTTGTTACAAATGTGCAGGTGAAATTATTGGTGCTTCAGCCTTGTTTCTGTGATGCAAATGTATGTATGTGCCAATTATTTATTTTGTTTTTGAACAGACATATTTAATTGTCTCCTATCCTTCCATGCTTCATACATTGAGCGTCTTCCTGGGATGTCAGTTCTTTGGATAAGAGTCATGTGCCTGCACCACACTGCTCTTGCGTGTGTTTAGATGTAAATTACCACGCTGTCAGGGAGAAAACCTAGGGAGGGCAATTGTCAGGTTCCATGTGGTGCAAATGTGTTTTCTGTTGAAACAGGATAAATGCAATGGCTGATATCGTGGAATTTTCCTGCTTTTTGTAGTCCATAACGGAGCACAGAGTAGTGTCCCTTGGTCCACTATTTCCAGACTTGATGGCCAGGCAGGCTTATGGATTTGCCCTGCTGCATAGGCTAGAGTCTTTTACCCATACATCCTATCAAAGCCCTTTTCTAGACAGTGATTTTAAAATCATCAGTCACTTCAGCCGTGTGCAGCATCAGATTAGAGCCGAGAGGAGCAGACTTCAAGTCTTCCCTCTGCTGTGATCACTTGAAGTGTTGTTCCTCTTCCAAACTTCAGGTGCGTAGTGCAAGTTATTTTGATTCTGTCTTTATGCCTGCACCTGCAAGGGGCATTTTTTCCCTATTGTTAGAGACCCATATTAGGGTAAGTAAGTTGGACATGACACTCTGCTTGTTATAGAGGGAGATTGAATCAGAAGTTTAGATTAGATTGCTGACTTTTATAATGCTGAAGGTGACAAACCAGTGAACACTGGATAATAACAAAAAGTCTGGAAGGATCGTTCTGCTAGGCTAATGGAGGAAGATCTCAATCAGAGCCCTAAAAATGCTTCTTTAATGGAAACAGTAACTGATCACAGTGGGGTTATTCCTGATTTATGCCAGTGTAAGAGAAGGACTAGTTCTCAGGTTTCCTTTAGCTAGATAATTTTTCAAGCTAGATAATTTTTCTCAAGGCACATTCATACCAATTTGGAGCTGAGTGCTTTACTCATTTGGATGAAGTATACATTTATTTTTAACCAGTAATCGTTAAAAATAAACTTTTCAGCAGTGAGCAGGCTGGGACGGACAGATGACTCACATGTGCTACTGGGAATGGGATGAATCAGCAACACCGTTTGATTTGTAGTGCAGTCCCTGTTCAAGCAGCTGTGTCTGCAGAGACTGAACATGTTCCATCTCACAGCTCTTTGCAGTTCTATCCCCTGCATGACTGGCAAACAGTGGTGGGGCTGGTTGCATTGTGAGGAGAGATTGGAGCTGACTAGAAGCTCCTGTACAGTTGGTTTTGCTTCTTTGGAGGGTCTCCAGGTACTCCTGGGAAGCAGCTGAGAAAATTGATTCTCTCTTTCCCTGTGAAAGGGTTGCAAGGGACGGGATCAAATACATGCTCTCCAAGGCAAGGAGAAGCTTCTTATCCAGTCTAGCTCATTGTGATCTTGCAGAAGGACTTATGCAGTCCAGCTCTGGAAGTATTTCTAGCCCATGGTAGTAACATTTGCTTCTCAGGGCAAACTGACATGGCCCAGCAAGAGCTGGGTTAGAGGCTCATGCTTAGCTTTAGGGTGAAACAATGTGTTATGTGGCACCACATAAAGCTTTACAGAGCATCTTGGGAGCTGTAAACACATACTTGGGCTAAGTAGCAGGGCTAATCCCTTGGGTATAGACGGTACTGGTATGTCCATCCCACATGAAGGTCTGGGACTTGCCTGGGTGGCACCAGCTCAGGGATCTCAGCACTGCACCAGCACAGTGTCAACCTATCCAGCCCCGTGATAAAACTGGTGAAGGTGCGAGGGCTTGACTGCTGATCTGAGCTGTGTTTGGTGGTGGCTACAAGATCAAATGATAGAATGCACATGTTCTCTGCTAATCCACCTGCACGTTATCTGAAGCCAGCTGTACCTCTGCTTGGCCGTTGTAAATGAGGATTGCCTTTTCACCTCCCAGCATTTCCCAGGCATTTCCAGGAAACAAAACATTCCAAGAAAAGGTGTGTCCACAGTCACAGAGTTATTATTGAACTATTAAAGCTATATTGAGTCTACAGATATACATATTTATGTCCTTCTTTTAGCCCAACTTTATATTTTTCAGGCCTTAAAGCTGCAGGTAATTTTTTATATTTGTTATTGAGAGCAGATGGGCCCAATTCCGATCATATTCTACTGAAGAAAGTCAGGGCTGCAAGAGGTCAAATGGTGAATGCTTTTCAATCTCCATTATTATTTCCTCTACTGAATTGCCCCAGCAGGTAGACTACAGTCGTTAATAGAGACCTTCAAAATATTTAAATCAAAACCTTCCTTGCACTCTCTTGGCTGCTTTCTTCCACTCTAGAAAACCACTCTGGCTACATTGTCACCTCAGCCTTCACCTGAGATCTGTGCTTTTGTCCTAACCTGCCAACTGTGGATGATGGGGAGATAGTAAGTCTACTTATGGTGCCGTCCAGCTCAGAAATAAAGCCCTGTTGGGGAATGTGTGACAAGGTGGGCCATAATGGTAAGTCTTGCAGATGCTCTGACTCTCTTTTTGGGCTTTACCTTGCCCCAGGGCTTGAGTTTGGTTCACATCACAGCCAGCTGCTTCTACTGACCTCTTTGCCTTTGTGCTGCAGTGGAGAAGGAGCACTCACAGCAGCCTTAAATGGGAGGTGACAAAAATAGTTGTGAGAGGGTTTAAGAAGCTGTGTTATTCTGAAATATGAGCCTGGCTATGACCAGTGGAAAAGGATCAGTGCTGGATGGGGAAGGCTACAAGTAAAAACCCTGTATGTAGGCCCAGCTCAGAAATGCCATCCTCAGTTTCCTAAATTGTGCTCCGAGGTGGTGCTGGGATGCATTCAGTTCTGTCACAGACCCAGTGGAAACATCAGCACGGAAGACCGGAGAGCTATGACAGGTTCTTCCCTATGCTTCAGGGGTCTTGGAAGGAGGATTATGGAGGAACGTGTGATTAATGCCCTCTCTCCGGGAGGAAGAAAACACAATTGTGCCCTCTTTCCTAGTGCTGTCCATCATCTTCAATGATGCTCATGGGGAAACTTATTCCTTCACATGCAACATTTGCAGAACTAATTTCCAAAAAAATAGGAATGGTTTTAAATAAAGCAATATCGTTTGGCAATTATCTGCATGCTTTCATGTCTATTGATTTTCTCACTCAGCCAGGGAAAATTTTTTTTCTCTCTCCACAGAGAAACTTTTTAATACATCTGTTCTTTTTGCTGTGGGCCTTTTTGCACTGAAAATGCTCAGTGGGCAGACTATCTCTGTGTTTATAAGGCAAAGAATTGGAACATTAATTGGGAACATTTAATGAATGTGCGAGATTTGCTACCAGCTCTTGTCTTTTTTTCAGTCAGGCCCCGGTCTTTGCTGAGTGCTGCAAACTCTAAAGATTTCTTCTTTGTGTTTCTAGAGTTTCTAACTGAAACAAAACCCAGGCATGGAATGAAGCTCAAAAACACTTCCAGTTTGGAAAGGAGACGTAAGTAAATGCAATATCCTGGGACAGGAGTTTTCTAGTGTTCAAGAATACTAATAGTCTTGAAGACAGGCCTGCCAACTGGCTTTAGTGCCTTGGGCGTTAGGGCAGGCCTGTGTGCTTTCTCTCCAAACCAGTGGGTTTTAGGGGACTGTTAGAAAGCACCACTATTCAGAAACAGTGCCAAATCCAAAGCCATCGAATTCAGCACTTGCCACTTCATCCCTACCTCTAAATATTAAACTCCCATACTGTGCTTATGTAAAGCCATAATGTAAAATTACTGTGAGCTTATGCAGTGCTGACAGGATGGTTAACATTACACTCAGTCAGAAAATTCAATAGCTTGGGAAGGGCTCTTAAAAAGAGCTGCCTATCCCTTAGTTTATTCAGAAAGAAAGTACAAGCTAGCAGATAGAGTAAATGAGCAGAAGGGGAATGGCGATACATATCAGGGCCTCTGCATTGACTCATTGCAGTCTGAGGCAGGGCAATCATCATTTATAGTATGTTGGCAGCTGGTTTATTTAACAGTAGTTAGAATAAAAACATTATTGATCAGTTCATCTCCTGACACAGGATAGGATGCTCTGTCCATTTGAGAGAATACCAATGCCCTGGGTTCAGATGCCAGCTCCTGCCATGGGCCTTCTCTGGGGCTGCGGAGGTTCCTGAGGCAGTTGTTCAAGGAAGAGGTTAAGAAGCCTTGGCTACTGAAAGATGGAGTCCCACCTTCAGGCACCTTCTTTTGTCAGTACAAGCATTTGCACAGATGTACATCAAACTGGAATGGGCGAACCAGTGCAAAATCCCTTTCTAACCATCCTCTGAATCCCTTCCTAGCTATTTTGCAGCTGGATCACCAGTGGAGTCTACCACAAACCTTTACAAACCTGGGCAGGTGAGTGGAAACGAGTGGCCTGAGAAAGGGGAAGGCTGAGCTACTTCTTTTGGCAGTAACAGTTGGCTTGAAGTGTTCGCTGAGCAACACAATATGAGTGTGCTTGGATCTCCTTTTAGTCTAATAGTGGTGATAGTCCAGCCTCACCTCATAGAAATGAAGTGGTCATGGATATATGATAGAACGTGGAGTGCTCAGATGCTGCAGGAATAGGGACACTCAGCTACATAGAAATATGGGTGTTGAAAGCTGCCTTTCAGGGCAAGCTAATAGGAAAGCTCTCACCACAAGGCTATTTTCTTTGGTAGATAAAGGACTATTGAGGGAGCAATCTGAGATATTCGTTAGGCTCTCACACAAATCTAGGGAGTCATTTCAGTTTGAGTAACACTGAAGATTAAATATTACAGTTCACTGAAGGGGCTCTGAGTGGCAGTGAAAAAAGCCAGAGTACAGTTAACTAAAATCTCACAGCGAAATACACAGCTCAGCATTTAATTAACCTCCTTCTCTGATGCCTCAGGAAAAAACAAAGTAATCTTGTTTCCTCCACCAGGCTTTCAGGCTCCTGTAGCACAATCATTTCTCCCTACAGCGTGAAGTGCAAAAGATATCACTGACGTCTTTTTTTACAATAGTGTGCAGGGATGACTAAAATGTATTCAAGGCATGCTGTTTTCCTCCATTGGGGTCAGATTGAGGCTAACCTCTGAACAGGCATTCAAGGAGAAAGGTACAAAGGATGTGATGTCCTGGTTCACCCTCCTTTCACTTGCAGAGGTGAGGCAGCTGCCCATCGCCCCCTGGCTGGAGTGGCAGCAGGCAGCTGAGACTCCTGCAACCTGAGCAAGGCTTTAGTCCCTCTCACCTGGGTGATATGCATGCTCAGTGTGGGGTTCTTTATAAATAGGGCGGGTTTGATCGGGTTTGTGAAATAAAAGCCTTTGCAGCAATGAGCTGCATTGCTCAGAATGGCTGGAGCAAAAAGTATTTATTAAAGAAAATGCATTGACTTTTGCAAGGAAAACCTTTGGCTTTTTCTCACAAAGCTGAGACGTCTTCCATTTGAAAACACCGTTCAGGTGTTGTGTGAGATTTGTAATTGGGGTGCTTCACACTCCATTTTCTGATTGCGTGGGCTGCCTGCACCATGGCTACCTTCTGCAGGGTGTTGTGGGAGTCTGACAGAGGCAGGAGCTTTTGGGGGTGGTACAGGCTCATGACTGGCAGAGAGCAGTGGCATTCAGAAGTCACATGAAAATCTTCTTTTTGAAATTCAAGTTTTTAACTGTGGTCACTGTCTTTTATCTGAAAAATAAACCTCTCCTCTGCCTTTATTTTGGTCTCATTTTCAGGTAAAAGTTTTTGTGTTGTTTCTAAATCCATTCAAGAGATATTGAGAAAAATATCCTGATTTTCTGATTAAAAAATAACAAATGGAAATTTTTGATCCATTCACCTGAAAAGTCTTTCACTGTGTGGAAGAGCTAGTATTGAAGGGTGAGAGCTGCCTTTACAGTGTCTCAAGGAATCCCTTTGAATCCCAACTATATGGATCTCTGGAGTTGCAGCCAGGACTCCAAATTTTTACAGAAGACCTATTCTGAGAGGGGGCAATTCAATGTTAGAGCAATGGCCATCCACGCCAGCGGTGATGCCAGAGGAGAACTCTTCTGGCACCGGGAAGTCATAAATAGGAGTTCCACAAATGCATAAATTAATTTGAAGGCAACACCACTACTCCACTGAGTACTACGCCATTTCTTTCATGCTTTCAGTGTCACAGGTGAGTCTTTTGAAGGACAGAGTCCAGTTTTCCCTCTTTAAATGCTAGCCATTTGCCAGCATTGTTTGTTGCTACCGCTGGCCTCAGCAGGCCTCAGCAAGGTGAAAGGTCCTTGTTCCCCCAGAGGACTGACACATTATGATGGCTTCATTTGATTAAAAGGGGATGTTGATCATTAGTTATGACCCAAATTTCTTTTCTTTGGCAATCATTCAAAGTGTTCCCAGATGCCCACGAGGCTGTTGTTACCTGCAAATAAAACATATCTTTATAACAAGGACATTAATGTTAATGAACAATATCAAAATGTGCCATGTGCCTTTCCCAGGCCTTTTTTGCATTTTGATGGATTGAACGATGGAAGAGAAACATATGCTTTCCAGATTTGAATCCAAAGAGCTCACTAATTCAGAGTCCATGCTCCTTCAAGCTGCAGCCAAGCAGAGAATAAATTGCTTAGTATTTGTCATCCACTTGGGATTAATTATTGAGTTTTAGAGGTAAGTAGCTGCACCAGTGAAGGTTACCAGTTTGTTCTTTAACATCTAGTTAGAGCATTGAGGGAGCTAGGAGGGGGGAGCTGGCCAAGCACAAATAACTTGGATATTTTTGTCCAAAGTAAACTGGGCAACAATAAAGAAGGTCAAATGTTCAGCTCAACAAATAGTATGAATGTATGCACTTTTGCTGGTGATTAGTACAATTGTATGAGGAATGGGTACTCCCTTTAGGTTAACATTAAAGAGCACTGACAGAGCAACAGGAAAAGTCTTTGGTTTTTTTATAGTTAGTGCCATAGCTGACCTGGAGCTGGTACCGGCTTGGAAAATATGAGTATTGTTCCCTGAAGGACTGCTGTCAACCTTGAGCGTTAGACTTGCAAGAAAGGAATCTTCCATCTGTCAGACAGGACAGGGTTAGGACACTGGTCTCCAGAGTCCCCCTTTGATTATGTGATGATGTTTTAAGGAAATTAGCTGATGTCTGCGATAGGGAAA